CTTAAGAAGGAGTTTTGCCTTCTATTTTTCTTTGTTTTCTTTTGGGTGATGCATGTGGCACTTGTGACGTGTGGGGTCCATTCCAACAGCGACTGTTACTGAACTTATAATAACGCTAAAATATTCACGATATTTTAGACTTTTAGCGTAGCTGGATTGAGGGGTTTGAGGGGGAAAGGGCAGGAAAAGGAAAGGAAAGTTTGTTATTATTGGTGTTTATGTTTTTTTTTTCTTCTTTTGTTGTTAATTGGGGATTGAGATGGAGAAGAATTAGAATATTTTGATATTTGAAGTATTATAATTAATAATGAAAATGTTAAAATAATTTTAATAAATTAATACACAAAAAATATTATTCAAAAAAATATAAAACATTATTAAAAATATATAAATAATTGTATAGATGATTCTGTTTTTTTTTTTTTTTTGAACATTTTGTCATGAGACCAGCTCGAACCGTTGCCCTTAGAGAGGGGGATATGAACTTTACAATCGTGGCTAGAATCACTTGACTCGAAAGGTCAGGTTCAGATGATTCTGTTATTTTAAAGTATCTTGATATCTTAATTTTCATTTTTTTTCCAGTTAAGTTTACAATTAAGTGAAATGGTAAGATTAATTACGTTTAAGTATGCGGTGGGCTTATGGATACATACATTTTTACCCCTATATCGCTTTTGCAATAGAATCCCCAAAGTCAAAATATCTCGCTCTTCCCAGGAATATTTTTGGAACTAATATTTGGTGTTGAGATATAAAGTCAACTTTAAAGAGTTGGGAGTAACTTTTTGAGATAAAAAAAAGAGTTGATTCTGATTCTTACTATTTTCATTAATACTATAATAGGGCCTAAGGTATTATCTAATATGCTTTTAGTTTTAGATTTTGAATTTTTATTTTTTTAATAAATTTTATTTAAATATAATCATAGTTATTAAATATAAAAAAATCAAAAACTTAAAACTAAAAGTATACTAAACAAAACCAAAATGTTTATATGCTAATTGCTGGCTATAATTAGTTTATTTATTTCTTTTTTTAAAGTTTAGTTATAATCAAAACAAATTCAATGAGTGTTTAATTTTTTTTTCTTGAATTGGTTTATATTTGGAACTGGTGAGATTTGAATTTTAGTTATTAAATTTAGGAAAGCATCATACGATTTGATTTATAATTATTAAACTGTGAGATTCAAATGCTTAATAAAA